TTGTTCTTCAGTCTAGTTGTGGAGGACGTTGCTTCACTGGCCCAAGTTGGTATTATCACTGCGCTCTTCCCAGGTAAGGCAGTCACTCACTGGCCATTGGATGGCCGCTCACGGCGGCTCACGGCAGCTCACGAAAGCTCACGCCTGCTGCCAGCCACTCACAGTAGCCTACGGCAGCCCACTGCAGCTCCAGGTCGAGCTGTTGTTCACCATCTTAGCTGTAGAGGGCGCAGCGTCACTGGCCCTCATGTGGGATTCAAACCGGGGCGCTGCTGCTCAGAGCTGGCGTCCCAAGCCAACTCCTAACCAACGTGCCACTCAGCCGGCCCATGAGCCTCACTTTTCTCATGACATGTGCTATGAAAAAGCACGTGTAAAATCGGAGGTGTAAGTGTGCTCAGTCGCATCCCAACGTTTTTGCAAACCAGCACCCACTGCTCAGGAAATATCATAACTCTCCACCATATTCGTACTTCTCATTAGCCAGAAATGTCCACTTTCCAACTGCAGAGTCTCCAGCAATGCCAAACGCACAGCATAAGCTCACTTAACTTAGCACTCACATTTCCGTTTGGTAAGTACCATTGTTCCCACTTTGTGGAGGTGGAAAGTAAGCACAGAGAGGCGAGGTTCCTTGTGCAAGGCTGCACCGTGGGGACACGGCCCTGTCTTCTATGCTCTATCCTCTGCTTTGAGTAAGCTTCAAAGTGTGGCAGCAGGGCCAGAAAAATCAGAGCTGCCAGGAGACCAACAAACTCTCCAGGTCAAACTCCATTTTACAAATGAGGCAACCGTGGCCCAGAGAAGCCAAGCACCTTGTCCTGGGCCACACAGCAAATAAGCTGCTGAACCTGTCTCCAGGCTGTGTGAGGAGAAGGTGAGGGAAGCCGGCTCGTACCGCCCCATTTAATCCTGTCCCAGAGTGAGGTGACCAGCCATCTTGGGATGTCCTGGGTCAGGGGACTTTAGGAGCTAAATCCAGGGAAGTCCTGGGCCAGCCGAGATGAGTTTGTCATGCTATTTCACAGCCGGGTGTCTAAATGGATGTGTCCTCAGGGCAAAGGCCCCGAAATGGAGCCGACCAAGGAGAACCATCAACAAGGTCCTGTAGAAGCGCTAGGTTTCACGCCTTTGGTCCCTGGAGGTACCACCCACGTGTCATGTCAGCAGCCTTGGAGTGGCCCGTCAACCAACACCCTCTCTTACACCTCTCCGGTCTGTCCCCGCCCCCAACAGCCACTGTGCTCTTCCTGAATTGTAAATCTAGTCGCCCCGTGCCCCAGTTTACAAACCTAAAGAGTTTCTCATTTTCCCCATTGCTTTAGGACAAACTCTAAATTTTGCAGGCCCAGGAAGGCCCCTGGGGGGGGGGGCTTGCCCAGTCCAGCTGTCCATCCTCTCTCTTGTACCCACCCCACTGCCGATATTCCAAACAGGACCAGGATAGCCAGAGACCTTCTAATGTACCTGCCTTACACGTGTACCCTTTTCCGGGCACCTCACCCTATTCTTCCACAGAATCAGCACAGTTGTCATCCCATAGCTATTTGTATAATTAAATAATTATTAATCTCTAGTCTCCGCACCCCTGGCTAGACCATCAGCCCACAGGGCCAGGGACAAGTATGTGATGTCCATTTCTGCTTTAGAGCCCTGACTCAGTGGTGACACATGGATAATGCTCAATAAATAGTCATCGAACGGACCAACCAATGCCACCATCACCTCCAACCAGGCCTC